GTGGTAAACTGTGGTCAATGACATGAGACAAAGTATATGTGAACTGCTGTATGGAAAGTGAATTTGCTCTGTAAATCTTCACCCAAATATAAATAAATAAAGGAAAAAAATTCTTTTCAAAGAGATGATTATCTGAACTAAAATTCTACATTATCTTAATTAACCTTTAAGTGACGACTGCCACTTTTGGGATAAAGATCGAAGTTGCTTTGATCTAACTAGATGATATCTGTTGAGACTAAGATTGTAATAAGACTGGTAAAATATGGGAACTATATTATCAAGGCCTTGAATTCCAAGCCAAGAAGTTTGGACTTGATTCTATAGCCAGAGATAAGGGGAGCTGTTTGGATTTTAGGAGAAGAATGAAACACTTTTTTTGAACCAGTTATTGTGAGTAACAACTGAAGCCCTTTTTTATCTCATGTTTCTGTGAATTAAGTGGAAACTACTTTTCATCCTAAACCATGAGAATAGGGAAGAAGAATCATCCTGTTGCAGGTCCTGCTGAGACTCTGCTTGTTTAACCACAAGATTGAATTTAAGCCCATGGCCTCTACTAAAATTCTTGGGCTAATGCCTTTCTTTTTCATGATAACCCTTTAAACTTGAAGCACAGTCTTCATCTGAATGAAATAACCTGTACTCTTTAAAAGAAGCTCTGGTAGCGTAGTGCTTAAGGCACTTGACTGCTAACCAGAAGGCTAGTGGTTCAAACCCACCAGCCACTCCTCGGAAGGAAGGTTGGGCAATCTACTTCCATAGTGATAGCACCAAGGAAACCCAAGGAAGGATCGCTGTGAGTCGAGTCCGACTCGTTGGCACATAACAACAACAACAACATACTCTTTAAACATTTCTTCATGGTTTATCTTCTCAGATCTGTCTGTCATCTATTGAAATGTCTCTTGGCCCTTTTTATATTGTCCATACTTTTAAAAATGTATTTATCTTGAATTATAAGGTTTTTTTTTAAGTAGAACAAAATTGTGTCACTACAGTTACCACAAATTTTAATACTTTTAAGTTAATGTAACATTGACA